CACTATTTTAGAAACAAATATCGAATTGGTTATTTGCCTTGAAGCACTGGGCAAAGAGAGCAGCTTAATAGCACATGTATCGAAAATGCCAAGCGATTCATCTCCGGTAGGACAGATATATTCGCGACTGAAGAATGCAATGCCACCAAATCGAACGATGGAAATAGCATCAAAGAAAATTAATTTGAATGCTGATGTATTGGCCTGGGAGCATGAAAGGTAATTTTGCTGCTTTCGTTAACCTTACGCATTATTTTTCTCTTGCTATTATCCTAAAAAATCACATTATTTTTAGCAGCTAGCGCTAATCATGTTAGAAGTTATCAGCTCATCTCCGCCCTTTGAGAAATTTAGTCCGTTTACGATTCGTTCATTCATTTCGATGGTAATTTGGTACTGGCATATGCTAAGAAGTTGAAATGAGCATTCAGCGGAAAAACGACCGGGCTTTATGCAAAAAACTGACAATGACGGCCGCTGGAGGTCCATGGGGCCCCATAATGCAACACTTTCATCCCAGCCGATGCCCCTTCCTGCTGTATAGAGATTGCTCACAAGCAGTCCCTGACTAAGGGAGTAGTCGACCGCCTTGCTAGCGGGTGCATGTTTTAGCATGTGGTACAATTCAGGCTATTTCCGGAGCGTGTCAGCAATCTCATAATGTGCGATTACTGTGGGAATTTTGACTTTTGTTATCCTGTTCCATCTGACTGTATTGCCTTGTTTGCTGCGTTTACATGCCTAGCCTTTGGAGCGAAACGAATCGTTTTTCGAGCAATCTTCCACTTTGATGTACCTCAAAAATTATTGTTAAGGTACTCGATGAGACGTTTACCGGCTCTTACTCTTTCGCATATCAAATCTTATACAGATGTAGCTCGGAATTCAATCCTGGACACTCCGTCACAGATCGATTTAAACGTCTTGGAGGTTTTCTTTTTCAACTTTGCATAATTTCACGTGATTCGCCTATCTACTTTTTTACACAATTCCTACTCATTATGAGCGAAAAATTTCCCGCTTGAATTTCGGTTTGCAAGCTTATTTGACTTAAAAAAATGGTATATACTCTGGAGATTAGGTGGACGCTTTTTTTTACTCATGGATATCACATTACTGTGCGGAATGCCTATATACGGATCCAGGAGGGAGAGGGTGGAGGGTGGGAGGGAGGAAAGGGAGTGACAGGGCTTTGCCTCTATCCTCCATCCCCCCTACCACTCTTCCAGTGACACAGGTACCAATGCTACAAAAGTCAGGGTTTAAAAGTAAAACTGATGAAAACTCTCTTCCGTGTCCACCAACAAGCCACCTTGGATTCACATACGGCAATGCCTGCCTAGCAGTAGTTGTGGAAGAATTAAGATCACAGGCAGTGGTTCGAAATGTCTTTTGCACCGAAGGACATTTCGGTGAGCAGCCTCTGTTTCATCCCTTAGCTGTAAACACAGAAATAGCAGAGCAAGCTGGTAGGAATGAGAATGTTTCCTCTTACTTACAGTGTTTATGTGATGAGTGATTTTTAACCACTGAGAATTGAAAAGCAGACGCAAAAAAAGCCAAAAAAAGGGAGTTTTTAGTATCTGAATGGAGAAATTTCAGGCTAATATACGTACAATTAGTGAGGCAGTATTGGCATATGTACTGAATTTGCCAACGGCAAAATGTGCCCAGAAAGAAAATGTATCAACATGTTCAATCTTATCAACGGGTGATGTTAACTCAAAACGGCTATCGAACTGGCTGCAGCAGTTCGGAAGCAAGCCTCGCCCGTTGTCCGGTGATAATGAATGGTTAATGTCCAATCTCAGGGACACTGTATCTAGGTATGTTAATTTTTCAATGATGTTCTGATGCAGGGTCCAAATTGATAGGCTCTTTTAGTGCTTTTAGCATAGAGGAACTCCATCAGTGCTTTATATTAAAAAAAAAAAAATCGAAACATAGTCGACTATTCCTTTTCTCTTTCTTATGTCGCTGCACTTTGCCAGCAGTAATGCTACACTTTCCGATACTTTTACTAAGAATTTCAAAATGGGCCGGATTTTACGTGGAATATTGTCCTGGTTCTCTCCCATCCCATCATTTGTGAGAAAGTCTTTGGAAGAAATAATATGCTTGTTCGGGGATTTTTTTGGGATACTTTTTTTTTGGAAGATTTTTGGGATGTCGTTAGCACTGGTTTTTACTTTTTTCATGAGTTCTTTTGTCGACTGTGAGCGAAGGCTATTTCTACTGACAAATTACTTGGCTCTGAATCCGGCAAGTGCTCTTGTGTGCTCGATTCTGAGCTCGCCTTTCTGGAATACATGGTTTTGGAGTTTCTAGAGGTTTTTGGGGTTTTTTAGAGTCAGTGGAATTTTTTGAAAATCTTTTTTTTTCCATAATTTCAGGTACACATCAGGACAAGTGGTACTGGAGCCAGTTCCATTAGTTGACATTTCACTGTACGGTGTGCTTGAAGATCGCATAACGGCTCATCGCGCTAAACCAGCAGTTTTCGAGCTTCTCCTGGCTGCTTTTATAGGTGTTTATCTGTCAGTATTCTATTTTTTCACTCTTAATTTGCACTCAACCCTTGAAGCAGCACTGGTAAAACTGAAAAAGCTATGAGATTATCTCAAACATACGTATGTAATGATGAGATTGATCTCAAGCAAGATCTATGCTAGTTTGTTTGCATATGAGACGGGATCGGCCTTG